TTTGGAAACATTATGAATGAATGATCAACTATGAGCTACTTCCTCCCGTTCCCTGGCAATGCGTTGGCATAAGACGCTGTCGCAGCTCTGTTGATGCACCCGCAAGTTCTGAACATTCAAATACATTTGCAACATATCAATGAGACACAACAAACTACATGTAGAGAGACCCACAATCCATCTGAATTTGTATCTATCAATCAAACATTTATTCAACTCTGCTCCCCTTCACATATTCCTCGTTAGCTAGAGTAATATACGATGGTGTTGTGATTGAAACAAAGTTGGCTAATGATTGCTTCACAATTTTTGTAAGGAGAAAGACAAATGGGCTGACCTTGAGCAGTGAAGTTAAACAATGGAGGCAGTGCTCTTCCATTTGGCAGTGAGAGATTCGGGTCCCTTAAGTCATCGAAGAAGGGATGTGCACAAGCTTCCAACTAAACATATGGAAAAAAAGGGATCGGTAGAATTTGAGTTAGAAATTTCCAAATCAGACAAGGAGGTTATATAATTTTGTGGCGTCCAAAAGGGTTAAGTCTTACTGCAGTGCAACGAAGGTTTGGTGAATACTGGAGGAGTCTTGAGACAAGGTCTACTGCTTCAGGTGGCATTCGCTTGTGGAAAATCTGAAGAGTTGTAAGCTACATTAGATTTCCTTTGCACATGTACATGCATCAGAGAGGCACGAGCGATTATTTCACAAACCTTGTGCCACGGGTGAGCTTTGATTTGAGGAAACTTGAACTCTGTGTAATTGGGATTCATACACCGTATTTCTTCTCTTGTAGGCGTCCCAAGAATCTGGAAGATGTACAGACGAATGAGATAGGAAACATGAAATATAGATAAGATGAAGAAAACACACGGGATCATAATAAGTACCTTTATAATCTCCACCAGCTGATCAATGCCACTTTCCCCGGGAAACAGTGGCTACAAGTAGAATATCAACAATTAAAATCAGATTTGAATGTGATTTGGAAGGTAACTAACTAATCAACCAATATAATACTCACTTGGCCGAGTAAAAGCTCTGCCATAACACAACCACCAGACCACATGTCAATGGCATTGGTATACTCTGTAGCCCCAAATATAAGTTCTGGCGCCCTGTAGTACCGGGAGCATATATAGGATATGTTAGGTTCACCTGGCACCTGAAGACGCACACGAGTGTTAGCCATTATTATTCAAATGACAACCAACTCCAACAACACTTCAAAAAATATATATACACATACCAACATCTTTGCGCTTCCAAAATCGCATATTTTTAGTTGATGGGTTTGGGGATTGACCTAAAAAGCCACATCGCAAAGGAATCAGGTAAAACCATTCATATGGATCAACCTGTGAGCGTTATTTTAAAACGAAAAAAAAAAACTAGTCAAAAGAATTCACACTATACCAGTAGATTTTGTGGTTTGATGTCACGATGACACACCCCAACCACACGATGTAAGTAGTTCAGAGCACGGCAGATCTGATATGTCACAAAGCAACAGAAAGAACAAGACCAACACAGGCGTCAGTAAAAAAAAAAATTCCATGTATCTGCCGCTTTATGCTACACAGATTACAAAAACGATTAACTAGAGAGCTTATATATCTCACCTGATACGTGTAGAGCTGAACAAAGATAATTGGCATATGTTGATTCATTTTGGTATAGTGCTTTGATGCTCTGTATACAGTTTCGGGAACATACTCAAGGACAAGGTTGAGATACAGCTCATCCTTGTCAGTTGTTGAAAAGAAAGAATGCCTCAGTCGCACAACATTGGGATGGTCTTGCAAGCGCATTATCTGAAGTTCCCTGTTCTTGTATCTTTTATCCTGCAGAACCTTCTTAATTGCAACTTGTTCACCCGTTTCCAGGCACTTGGCCTAATACCAAAATCAGACAGCAATTCAAATTCTGTAAATGAGAAAAAAGTTAAGGATTAATATTTGCTCATGCTAAGAATTTCCACCTACCTGGAACACTACTCCAAATGAGCCTGTTCCAACCACTCTCTGGGCCATGTATGAGATTGTCTGAAACATATAAAGAAAAATTAAGTAAGGATACAACCCAAATGAAAGAAAAGAGGCAATCATGATTACAAGCTTTTCTCAAACACAACGATAATCAGACCTGCTTTGGCTTTCCATCCCGGCCCCCGACTGTTGTTGTAATAACTTGTCCCGTTTCGGTCCCACTGCCGTTGACAATAGTTGTCTCCATATCCTGCAGAAGCCAATGGAGATGTGAGCAAATCTGAGTAAAAATAATGGAGATCATGTCTGTTTGACAAAGCAAATCCACCTTCTCCTCGCGGTTGGCATTTCGCTCATCTCTGATTCTCATTTCAATCATTACTTCAGGAAGCTGATCATCCAGAGGTGCAACAGGCATATTTGAGGTTCCAGCAACACTTTCTTGTGAAACCATGTCTGGTTTCATCTCAAGACAAGTACTATTTTCGTCAACCTGCATTGGATCACCAGACGAGCTATCGTTCTCTTGATCCAGCTTAGCTCTCTTGAGCCCATAGTCCCCACCCTAAAAAAGATGAGAAACAAACACCATAATCAAGTCAACATATGTGATGATGCTATCATCAATCAAAAGCCCTACATAGATCTCAAAACCTAGAAAACACAGACAAATTTGACTTGTAACATACTATACAAGACCTACAATCGAATCCCAATCCGTAACATGTGAAGCGAAATGAGAGAATCAGAAAATATAAAAATTAACCTAATGTTGAAATGGCAACTCACAGGATCCGAAGAAATGGAGGTCCGACCCGAAGCAATGCTCTTAAGACGACGCATCACGTTCATCTTCGCTTCGCCACAAGCCTAACGAACTATGAAACCCTAGAAAAATCTTCAACACAGCTTCATGTGGAGAGAGAGGAAAGCAC